CAAAATGACTGCCACAAAAACAAAAATTGCAAACCTATTCCCGTTAATCTGCGGTTCGAATTCCTCACCAATTCCAGAGTTTGGGACATAACTTCACTTAACAGCAAAAATTTCCACATGCATGTTTTCCGGTGCAACCATACTACATTTCAACATCTTACCATCACATCACCTGACGAGAGCAGAAACACAGATGGAATCCATATCGGGGCTTCGACTGGTATCAACATTACTCAGGCAAAGATTGGAACTGGGGATGATTGTGTTTCTATTGGTGATGACTCCCACCAAATCACAGTGACTGATGTTACTTGTGGGCCAGGCCATGGAATAAGCATTGGAAGCCTTGGAAGATATAAGGAAGAAAAGGCTGTGACCGGGATCATAGTTAAGAACTGCACCCTGACTAATACGCAGAACGGTATGAGAATCAAAACATGGCCAGATTCTCCTTCACCTAGCATTGCCTCAGATATACACTTTGAGGATATTATCATGGTTAATGTCAGTAACCCTATCCTCATAGACCAATTGTACTGCCCATATACTCAGTGTGACCAAAAGCCTCCGTCAAAAGTTAAGATCAGCAATGTCAGCTTCAAGAACATTAAGGGCTCATCTTTCACTCCACTTGCAGTCAAGCTTGTATGTACCAGGGGCATACCGTGTGAGAATGTGGAGTTGACTGACATTGATCTCACCTACGGTGGAAACCAAGGCCCTCTTACCTCTCTGTGTTCTAATGTCAAGCCCACAATTACGGGCGCAATAAAAGCTCTTGCTTGTGCTACATCGTCCTTGGCACCTCTTCCTTTATCCAAGAAGTAGAAAGCACTAATTAATGTTCTCTATACATAAATAGCTGTGTTCTACGTTGCTTTTGTGCTACATGTTCTCTCCTTTGCATCAAGATAAATAAATACACAACACAATTTTCGTCAATGCCAAGAGCCCTCTTATAGCATTGCTAACCTATTTGATCCCAATTTTCATCACTGAAAACTTCCCTTGTGAATTTGACAGTAACACCGCATGATATTTCTCTGTCCTATATGAAAAACGACCAGATAAATTCGGAGTTTTTTTTTTAATTCTCATAATCTTTTTGGCATGCTGTTGATGGAACAAAAGACATTCCTGCATTTTTACTGTGGTCTGAAAATAAAATCGTGATTTCTTCGCTGACACTATGATTTTTGGTGTAAATCAACCTCAACCAACATTCGACAGCAAAAAAATATGCAAGCCACTTTTTCAAGTTAGAAAATTTGAAAGGATGTTATATTTGTACAAAAATGCATGTCAATTTTGTCCGTACTCTTTATACAATTTTAATATGGTTGAAGTTTAATTACTATTTTAATTCTTATAAAAAGTTTCCATTTCATTCAACTCTAAAACATAGACAGACAGTTTCTATTTCTATTATCATCAATAATACTAATGACAACAAAATAAGGTCCATACAATACAAGTATGCGATAAAGCTTTACACTGCGACAGGAGCACCAACCACAAAGAAAGGGATGTGAGGACTTCCACTGACTATGCATGAACTGAACCACTAACTATGTATGCATGAACTGAACCACTAACGCAGAGTCACTCTCAAAGGGATGTCTCCTAACGCATAGTCATTCAACGCTTTCTCTATCAGCTTTCTGTTCACATATACAAGTACAATATTACTTTATACCAAGCAAGATATTTAGTTTTCTGTTATAGGTAGTTTTATTGCTTCTGCAGAAATGGTGCGACTGTACACGTTACATATATCGACATACACTTGCTAAAATATGAATACGGGTTTTGAATATGTTAGGTTCTTCTTTTATTCTTCTCCATAAGGAGGTATATATAAGAGTTT